GGAACTGGTGAGTTTGGGTGTGAATCTTCCCCTGGCCACTCACCAGGTGACTGTGGGCAGGTGACCCTGGGCTGGGTTCCCTTTTCCCAGCCTCTGTACACTGGTGCCCCAGGGCTGGGCGAACTTGACCAGGTGACCAGGTGAACTTGGGGCCTAAACAGACGGGAGTTTACCCCTCACGGTTCTGGAGGCGGGAGGCCATGGCCAGTCCCCCTGCCCAGGTTCTCTGCAGGGCCAGCTCCTCGGCGAGTCTAGGGAGGCCCCCCTGGCCCTCCAGCTCCTGGTGGTGGCCCCAGTGTCCTTGGCTGGTGGCGGCATCACTGTAGTCTTCCAGGCCTGCATCTCCACCTGCCCTCTGCTCCTCTTTGTGGGCTTCCTGGGGTCCAAGTCCTCTGCCTCCCTCAGGAGGGTCCATGTGACCACCTGGGCCACCCAGGGACCCCAGCTGAGCTCCCATCTCTGCGCCCTCAACCCAGTTCCTATGACAAAGGGCATTTTCCCTTCTTGCCATAAAAGACGGCACCCAGGGACTCCAGGCTCTCTGTGGGCTGGGGGAGCACTTCCCAGCTCCCCCTGCACCTGCGGGAGTGGGGCGCACGGCCCAGGGGGCACACACCCTTCAGCAGGGCGGTGCTGGGTCCAGGGGGCTGGGCCTGGAGGCCGGAGGGAGTGGCACTGCCACCCGGCTGGCTTCCCCCGCACAGTCCCCTGCCCCACTTCTGAGCACCTGCCGCCAACCCTGCGCGGTGCGCCCCGCGGCCGCCCCGGCCTTATTTACTATTCCCCTGCCTTCGGAGCCGCTCCCCCGCAGACGCCGCTGCTCACCGGGCGGCGGGCGGCCGATGACTCATGCCGTCTCCAGGAGCGCAGCCTTTTCAAAGGGCTGGCTGGGGAGGGAGCTAAATTTAAAGCCAGGCTTCCCGAGAAGATCACCTGCCACGTCAAAATCGCTGCCATTTAATTACAAGTTGGGCCCCAGGCGTTCCACCTCGGTCGCCAAGCCACGCCTCCGGGGGCGGGGCTTGGGGGCCATGACAGGGTTGGGGGGCAGGGGACCCGCCTCCCCACCTGCGCTCCCTCCGGGGCAGCGGTCACCCACCTCCCGGGCCTCCAGGCCTTCCCTCCTGTTCATGGTCTTGGATGTCACCTCCAGGCCCCTGACCCGAATTCAGGACCTAAGGCAGGGACCCCAGGGCTCTGCTGCAGTGGAGTGAGGCCTGCCCCCTGCTCAGGGGCCGCTGCCGGCCCGCCCTGGACCTTGGGCAGAGTGGGGGAGGGGTGCAGCCGGTTCCTTACCGACCCAAGGCCGAGGAAGGACCTGGCTGGAGGGAGGAAGGAGGCCCGGAGGAGATGGAAGCCGAGGCCGGGCCTGCTTGGCCCCTCCATTCTTGTGCCTTTGTCTGCAGGGGGGACCAGCTGCCCTTCTCCCAAATGATGGAGGAACTGCGCCCCCCCACCCCCGCCCCCGTGTCTGGAGGCAGGGCGGCCAGGGTCCTGAGGCTGTAGTGACAGATGCTGAGCCTGAGCCCCGTTCCTGCCCTGCGAGCTCATCTGCAGGATGTGGGTGGTCCTCAGGTGCAGACAGGGCTCCCTGTGCAGATGCCAACTGTCCCAGAGACCTGGGCATGCAGGTGCAGGGAGCTGGGCATGGGTCCAGGGGCCTCCCCGGGCCAGATGCACACAGAGGCGGAGCCAGAGACAGCTCTCTGCACGGAGTGCCACTCAGCCTCAGGCCCCTCCTCCCTGCTCCAGAGCCGGCCTCCCTCCTGGCCACGTGCATCGCCCAAGTTCCCTCCTCTGGCCCTGGCAGATGCCCAGGCAGGGCCGCCTTGAGCCCCGCCAGCCTTGCCCAGTGCTACCTCGAGTCGCTGCTGCAGGGTGAAAGGGAGCCTGTGGGTTAGACAAGGGCACTGAGCAGCTGACCTTGGGACCAGGAGGTGACTGGGCGCACCGGCCACCTCACAAGAGCTCTTTAAAAGTAGAGTGTGTGTGTGTGTGGGGGGGGTTAGCAGCACCCAAGAGACCCCGGTGAGAGGGGCTGGACTCCAGGTGCCTGGGGCAGGACAAGAGGGGGCTGCCCTCTGACACGGTCCCCGTCAGACCTGGATTCCGTCCACACCAGAGTGAACTGGAGGACAGTTTCCTCCCCAGACCCCAGGAAGGGGCCCACCTGACAGCACCCTGCCGCCAGCCGGGGAGACCCAAGTGGCGGGGCTGCTGCGTCCCCTGGCCTTCTGGCTGCAGCAGGGACAACATTCCGGCCAGCACAGCGCTGACCTGGCCACCCTCTGCTCACCGACGCCCACAGGATGGAGCCTGGGGTCCCGCCAGGCCACCACTGCAGGGAAGAAGGGGACAGCCACCGGGAGACCCCAGGACTGGACCCTGGCTTGGCCTCCCCAGACTCCGTTTCCTCACGTGCACACGGTGACACCAGGCTCTGCTCCTGGTGACCTGAGCTAAGTCACAGAGAGCCCAAGGGTGTCACATCCTGTCCTTATGTCACCACGAGGAACTGTGGAGAGAGGTGACACCTGAGGTGGCAGCCTGGCTTCCAGGCCACCCCAGCCGTGGAGCAGCTGGTGACATGGGCAGTGTCCCCTGGCGACTTGCCACACAGCCTTGCCACCTCATCTGTCAAGCGCAGTGGGCAGGGAGCACCCGTCCTGCTGGACGTGAGTGTCCACCTGCACCTCGGGAGCCCCCAGCTTGAGGGTGGACGGCAGGATCCTCTCGGCCCCGCCCACCCTCGTGTCTGAGCGGTGTTCCCGGGCTCGCAGCTCTCACGGTCATGGCCGGTCACGGCCGGTCACGGCTGACCTCTTACATGAGGGGCCTCAGACCCGGAGCAGAGACGAGAATTAGTTGATGCAAATTGATGCTTGAGCCAAGTGCGGGCATCAGGCCACCCCAAGAGCCCAGCTCTTCCTGGACAGGCCTCGGGGAACAGCCGTGACAAGAGCGATTGTGGTCACCCGCTCCTGCAGGAGCCTCTGGATTACCAAGTGCCCCCACGACCATCACGCCTCACAGAAATGCCCCGAGTGGAGGCAAGGCCACGCCCCCCCTCCGAGCTGCAGCAAGGGGGCCCAGAGAGGTTGTGTAATGGGCCAAAGGCCACACAGCTCCTGAGAGGCTGGACTGGGGCATCTCTGCCAGGGCTTCTCCCATGGCCACCACAGCGCCTCCTCAGAAGCCTCTCAGGAGACTAAGATGGGGACTGCAGCCCAGATCAGGGTCCAAGCGCTGACCCGAGGCAGGTCACTAACTGCCCCAAGGGTGCGCTCCGCCCTTTCTGCTTAGGTTGGTCTGGGGCACCAGTGCGCCTTTCTCTTCTCTCCCGGCCGGGCACAGAGTATTGGCTCAATAAACGCCTGTTAGGGCTTCTGCTCGGGGGGTGCCTTGTGCCCCGTGGTGCCACCCAGACGGCCTCCGGAGTCCGCAGTCACCCCAGAAGTCACTGCTACGCATTCTCCTTTACTCATAACCAAATCGGCCCAGAGCGTCATGTGACCTGCCCAGGGTCAGAGGTCAAGCTGGGATTGACCTGGGTCTGTCCCCCTTTAAATGACAGGTACAGCCGCCAGACTCCTGGCTCTGCCTCCTGCCCGAGGCTTGATCCCCTCATGTCAGAAAGAGGCCGGGTCCCTCCTTTCAGGGCCCTGGGATGACCGATCACCTGCTGCCTAGGGACGGGGCCTGCGTGGAGAGGTGCTGAGAGGGCTGTGCTGGGCAGCCACGTTGCAGGCAGACATCACGGTGGACCCGCGGGGCTCCAGGCCCTCTCGTCACACCCAGGCCAGGGGTCTCGTGCTGCAGCCCATGGCTCCAAGGGCCACACCAGGAAGACCTGAGACCCTCGGTCAGGCCCAGGAGAGGGTGTCAGCGGGACTCGGGCTGGTGGGACTGCGCCGTCTCAGGGCTGAGCACCGGATGCGGCCTGCTGTCGCTGTCCAGCTGAGCCCAGCCCTGCGCGGGCAGCACTGTGGCTTGCCAGGCCCCTGGGGTGCACTGGCCGTGACGTTCGAAGGTGGGAGTCTCCACTCCCTCACAGTGGTCTGGACTGGCCTCGTGGTGGCGCAGTGTCCCTGTGGAGCCCATGTCTGATGGCAGTGGCTGTCCCGGGCGCTGGACACGCCTTGACCGTGACGGGACCCTTGTCCCCAGCACACCCACTTGTCAGAAAACGCTGCTGGGAGCAGCTCGTGGGGCCCGCGTTGGCTCCCGCGTCAGTAAAGTGGGGACCCCAACCTCTCTCCAAAGTGGGGACCCCAACCAGTGTAGGGACCGGGGCAGCACCTGGGAAGGCAGGTGGGGGGGACCCTCACTGGTGGCCACTGGGGCCTCCCTGGGCTCTGGGGCCAGAAGAGGGAGCAGGGGTCGGACGGGTCCCCACCCCTGCCTGGGTGGGCTCGACCCCTCCCCGGGCTGCTGCGTGCCAGGACCCCCCCCCACGGGTGCCCCTTGCCCCACACCTGGCCGTCTCCCTCCTGGACTGCACCCCTGGCCCTCTGGGCCATCCTCAGTGGGACCCAGGGCTGAGCGAACCCCCGTCTGACCGTCCAAGTCCTGGACGGCTCTGTGGCTCTGGCCTGCTGTCCTAGGCCACCCAGCTCCATCCTGTCCTCTTCTGGAGCAGCGTGAGCTCCCACCGGGTCTCTGCTCCTCTGGGATCCTGCCCACTCGGCCCTGGCCGTCACGGCCAGGGGACCAGGCTGTTCCCAGCTTGGCCGGGTCACCCCAGTTCCCCCCACGGGGCCCAGCCCAGAGCTGCACCGTGTGTGGAGCTGCCCGGGTGGTCCTGGGCCGGCCACCCTGGGGTCAGGGACCACTGGCTGCCCCTACAGGCTCTCCAGGCGCGGTGCAGCCTGGCCACGTCAGCAGCTGGCCCCGATTCGTGATTAACCAGCACATTTGTCACTCGCCTGGCCTGGAGAGCGTCCCCAGCTTTAATTAATTCTCCCTGCACCCAAGTGCGGCCGCTCTTCCCACGGCAGATAATGACGTGTGAAGTCGCCTGGTCCAGCCAGGAGGGTCACTGCAGCCGTGACAAGGGCCGCCGCCTGCCGGCCTCCCCTCTGCCGGCCTCCCCTCTGCCGGCCCCTGCGCCCACAGGTGGGCCGGAGGCTTCAGCCTGGAGCACTGTGCATCAGGGTCCCAGAACCAGTCACAGCTCACTGCCCCAGCCACGGCCCTGTCTGGGGACGATGGCAAGGTGGCTTTGCAGAGGAGCAGAGCGTCTGGCAGAGCGGAGGTGTGGGGACAGCCCCGCAGCCTGGTTCCTGTAGACGGAGAACTGCGTGGGGAGAAAGCCGCCCCCTCTGATGGCCTGTCCCTCCCCTGCCCTCTGGCTGTTGGAGCAGAGGCCCCGCGTTGGCAGGCCGTGGCTCCCGTGTCTGGGGCCTCGCGGCCACACCCTGCGCATGTGTGGAGGGCAGGCAGGGGGAGGGGCGGGCAGGGGGCATGGACAGCGGCCAGGAGCGGTGGGTGGAGGGCTCAGGACGGGCGGTAGACACTGGAGCGGCTGTGGCTGTGGCTGGACGGGTTATGAGTGAGTGGTCAGTGCAGGGCTCAGGTAGCATGACTGTCGCTGTGGCTGCTGTGCCTGGAGGCGCCAGGTCCTCCCACAGCCTGTGACCAGGAGAGTCCGCCACAGAGCCACGGTGCTCAGGCCCCAGCGAGAAGGGCGCAGCCTCTGTGGAGCCCTCGGCCCCGGGCCTCTGGCCTCCTGAAGTGCCCGCCTCGGCTCCTGTGACGGCAGCTCTCGCGGGGTTTAAGGAATGGTGACCAAACACGCAGAGTGTCCCGCACACTCGAGCTTTTATTCCAAATGTCACCAGCTGCACTGGGCTGGGTCCCCAGGTGTGGAGCCCACGGGCATGGACACGGAGAGCCGGCGCCCACCGAGCTGCTGGACGCTGTTCCACCTTGATCAGCCCGTTTTGTGCTGGGAACTGGGCTAGGCGGTGGGCACTGGGTCTGTGTGCAGGTGGCCAGGCAGACGGGTGGCCAGGCAGACGGGAGGGGAGAGGGAGGGGCAGGCGGTGGGAGCCTGGTTACCTGCTTCTCTGTCCCCCCGCGGGAAGGGCCTCCCCACCCATCAGACACCCCCTCGGGAAGCGGGGCTGGCCCCTGGTGGCCTCGGCCCCCTGAGTCTCCACCTCCTCTTGCTGGGTTTCGTCCCCAACCCCCTTCACTCCCCTGACCCCTCACATGCCCACCACCTGGTGCCCACAGTCGTCACCTGTCCCCTCCCGGCCTGAGCCCTTCTCTGGCTGCACAGCCCAGGGACACCAACCCTGGTCACTCGATGTCACACATCCGGCAGCCACGTCAGGCCACGTCCTCGGGGTCCCTCCTGGCAGCTCCTCCCCAGATCCCAGAGCCAGCCTGCCACCCTGCCCAGCACCCGCCACCCTGAGGCCTTCCCAGAGCTGCCACCGAAGCCCCCGAGGTCACATCACCGCCGCCCCTCCCCCTCCCGGCCAGCCTCACTCCTAACGAGGCTCAGAGGGGACGGGTCCTCGCCCGGGGCCACCCCACAGGCTCACGGAGGCCTGCGGGGTGTCTGTGTGTGTCCGGCTGTGCCCACCTTCCCGCCGGGCAGTGCGACCCCCAGGTTCAGAAGGAGCTCTTCGCGGATGACCCGTTTATTCCACAGGTTTACGTGGGTCCCGCCCTGCGCCAGGCAGCCGCCAGGAGCCAGGGCGCGACAGGGACAGGGCTCCACCAGGGCCTGCCCCAGGACCTTGGCACCTGCCAGAGCACAGTGACCAAATGTCGCATGTCTGTCTAAATGACAGCCAACAGGACAGGCCACAGGGCCTCGGGGACAGCACCGTCCTCTCACCCCGACCCCTTGCTGGCCCTCGGACTGCAGCCAGGTCCTGTGGGCACGGCTGAAGCCGTTACTTCCCTCTCTGGGACAAGCAGGTGACCTTGCTCCTCCATGCCTGGCCCCTGGGGACCTAAGAGCAGCCTGAGAAGCTGAGCTTCCCGCCGCGCCGCGCCCTGTAAGTACCGCTGCCCTGTGCCCGCGGCTGGCGGGAGGGAGCAGGAGCCGGGCAGCGCCAGCCCAGATGGCCGCGCCAGCTCTGCTGCCCCCGAGCTCCCTGGAGGAGGGGAGGGTGACCTGGCCCAGCCACCTCCATCAGGTGACCTTCAGTCTCTGCAGGTTCATCACGTGTGTCCTGACGATGCCACCTCCGTGTCCGCTCAGAGCCGCCTGTCCCCGACAGCTTGTCGAAGGCCGTCACAGGCAGCACATTAGGGCCCTGCTGCTCCGACCCCGAGGGCTTCGGGGCCAGGAGGACACCTGGTCTAGCTCAGAGGACACCTGGTCTAGCCTAAGGCGGCACAGCAGGGCCAGAGGCTTCCTGGTGCAGCAGGGGATTCTCACGTCAGCTCCTGCACCCTCCTGCTGTGTGACCCTGGGGTGCCCCTTGCCTTCTCTGAGCTTCCTCACACAAAAAACAAGGAACAGGAGTTCCCAGCTGCAGAGGCCCATCCTCGAGGAGAGGCTCACGGTTGTCCTGCTGATGGCCTTCAGTGACCCTGGCCCCGCTCTCCAAGCCAGCCAAGGTGAGGACACGGGGAGGGGCTGGGCAGGACCGGGCTGTGCCACCTTCGAGGCAGCTCCCAGAGCTAGGAAGAGGGGCCAGAGGGACACCTGGGCCCTGCCCCCGCCGTCCAGCGGGAGGAAGCCCTGCAGTGTGGGCACCATCCAGAGCCCCCCGCGTCCACCATTCCTGGCCGCCCTGCTCGGCCACTCGGCCGCCTGCCTGTCCTTTGAGCACTGAGCGGGGACAAATGGGGACGCGTCTCAGGCGCTGAGAACCGCCGCTCACCCCCAGGACGTGGTCCTCCCAGGGAGGTGGCCGCTCTGGGCACCGCGGGCCTCCCTGGCCGTAGGGCAGGGCCCCTGTGAACAGGCACCAAGGAAGGGGACGGGGCATAGGCCTGGCCAGCGGCTCAGGGCCAGCTCGGGCTGACACTGTCCCCACCCTCTGCTGACCTTATGGGGGGAGCCACTCTGGGAGAGGACTGCTGTGGCTTGAGTGTGTCCCCAAAGGGCCGCCGGCAGGGAGCTTGGTCCCCAGGGTGGCAGTGTGGGGCACTGGGGTCTCTGAGAGGTGGGGCCCAGTGGGAGGTCCTCAGGTCATGGGGCAAGACCTCGAAGGGGTCAGGGGGCTTTGGGACCCCTGAGTTCTTGTGACTTGTTGTAAGAATGAGGCTGGCGCCCGCCTCTCAGACTTCCTGGGTTTTGTGGGGACCCCCCCCCCCCGTCTTTGCCATGGGTTCCTGCCTGAGCCACACGATCTTCTCTGGACTTTCAATCTCCGCAATTCTGAGCTAAATAAACCTCCTGTCTTTACCAGGTTAGCCTGCCTCAGGTAGTTCATTGCAGTAGCAGAAAACAGACTGATACAGGGAGCCAGGAGGCGGCACCGTCGTGTATAGCTTTCTCTAATCCTAGTCAGGACAAGATTTCTGGGACACCAGGAAATGTGGGTGGCAGGCTCAGGGGTGTGCATTAAGGACCAACATCGCACTGGACATTTGTAAAAACCAGCCTCCACCCAGAGGTGCCCACACATTTTTCTCAGAGGTCACCACTTCCTGCCGTCACCTGGGGAGAGAAGTGGCCTTCATCACCACCAGCCGGCATCGGCCACCCCAAGAAAGACCTGGGCAGGCGAGGCTCCTGGTGGCTCTGTCCTGGCGCGGAGCCATCCAGGACACGGTAAGTGCACCGAGGTGGGTCCCTGCAACCCGTCCCAAGCAGCCACACCTGGTGACCTGAACCCTGCCCCCAGGCAGGCGCGGAGGGGACCGGCGTGGGGTGGCTGTGGCAGGATGCTGGCCCTGAAAAGTGACTCGGAGCCATTAACTCGCTCCTTTCTCTTATCGTCCTGGGAAAGTGGACCTTGTCCCTGCTTCACTCACAGGCTGGAGGACGCCGGGTCCTGCGGCCACTTAGCCGGGAGCTGGGGTCACTGCGGGGAGGGCAGGGCAGACGCAGTCAAGGCGCAGGGCAAGTGGAGTGAGCCCCGCGGGGACCCAGCAGGGGTCCAGAGGGGTCCCTCAAGCCCTGCGTCCCGTCCCCCACACTCGGCACACGGAGGGGACGAGACCTCTCGTTTCCCGACCCCAGTGGCGCCCAGTACGACGTCCCTTGTCCTGCGCTGAAGGACGACCAGGGGTCAGGTCCCCGGGCCAGCTTCTCCAGGTCCTGTGTGCCTTGGAGGCAGGGACTGTGTCCCCACGTCCCCCCCCCCAGCACCCTGCCCCAGGCTCCACGTGGCATCTGTGCCAGCCCCTCCCCAGCCCTGGACTCACCGGCCACTCACGGCAGACACTGCTCAGGTCCATTTTACAGATCCAGAGACCAAGGGCCAGCGGGGCTCAGAGCCCGAGGAAGGCAGGTACCCGGGGCAAGTGCCCTGACCCAGTGGGCCACCCCACCCCGGGATCCAGCAGGCCACTGTCCCCAGCCCAGCTCCTCACTGTGGACGGGCTCCCCTCCCACCAGGCCCTGGGCCCTGTGGTTGGAGAGCTGCTGAGGGGCAACCGAGGAGACCTGGCTGTGGGGCAGGGACACCGTGGAGGCCGTCTGCACCAGGTCAGATGGGAGATCTCGTCGCCCTCCTCCCCGTCCCCGTCCCTGTCCCCAGCAGCTGGCCAGCAGCTCCCGCTCAGCAGGCTGCACATTCGCGGGAAAGTGCTCCAAGCAGCGTCCAGGCTCCCGTCCAGGACGTGAGGTCATGCTGACCACCCAGGGTCTCTCTGCTGGGACAGCCCCAGCCTCCCAGAAGGGCTGGGCCCAGCTGGACATGGGACGCTGCCGGAGGGCGAGAGGGTTCCCTGCGGGACCAGAGCCTCTCCTCCCGCTGGCCGCGGCCGCTGGACGGCACCCAGCACCTCCAGGGACTCCCGGGAATCCCGTCCGCCAGGCGCCGCTTGAGCCAGGGCTGGAGCCAGCTGTCCACTCTGGGCTGGCCGAGAGGCGAGCGGTCCTGGTCACCAGCGGGGCGCAGCGTGGGAGGAGCCCGGAGCCCCGGCTGAGGACAGGGGGGCAGGGGGACCAGCCCGGGCCACACCCACATGAGGATCAGGGTGCCCACCTCCTGCGGAGGGACCCCAGCCCTGGAGGAGGAATGGGCCACCGCCTGACCCCCTCCTGGTCAGCACAGGGAGGGAGGCAGAGGTGTGGGGGACCTGTCCCAGGAGCTGTCCCTGGGGAAGCACTGGCCCCTGGAGGTCCCGTCCTGGGGTTCCTGGGCTCTGGCTGGCCCCTGCTGCCTGGGCCGGGTTATGTCTGTCCCTGTCTGGGCCAGTTTCTCCCTCCAGGCCTTGGTGGAGGGGAGGTCTCCAGGCAGCATGCTGGACGTGGGGCAGGGGACAGCGTGGTATGCTGATCAAGTCTGGGCTGAGCTGGGCAGCAAGGCCAGCCCGAGAGGCCAGCGCTGGCCAGGGAGACTGGATCTCACATGCCTCCTCCTCTGGGGTCCAGGCAGACGCGAGCAGGTGGAGGCCACCTGGGTGGCCAGCGGAGGCCTGGCCGCCCAGGCCCCGGGGGGTCTGGGGAGGGCGTGGGGGAGGAGGCCAGGGGAACTGACCAGTCCCTGGCCCTGGGCCACGCCTCACTGGACGGGGGGGGAGGCGAGGCTCTGGGTTCAGAGCGTCTGAAGGTTAAGGTGAGACTCGCCTGGACTCTGAATTGTCCAGCGGTGCCTGGAGGGAGCCTGGGGGCACACGCAGCAATGCACACTCGCATGTGGGCACTCCCGGGTGCAAGCACAGCCACGCACACCCGCTCACACACACTCACGCCCACTCACTCACAGGCCCCCAGACCCTCGGCTCGTTCCTCGGCGCTAGAGGGGCTGCCCTGGGCACCCCAAACTCCGCCGCAGCCGGGCGGCCTGGGGCCGGTCTCAGCTGGACGTTGGAGCAGTCCCCTGTGCGCGTGGGCCCGAGGGTCACAGCTCTGCAGGAAGGGAGCCTGGGCCCCGCCCAGCCCAGCCCCGGCTCTGGCCTCCAGAGCCCCTGCGGAGGGTCCCATCACCCTGGCCCTGGGGACGGTGCGTGGGTGGGCAGGGTCGTGTCTGATTCCTGTCCCTGAGTGTCCTGTGCCAGGTGCTGAAGAAGGCCATGCCTGCCCACCCTGCCGCACGGGAGAGGCGCGGGGCCAGCACCCTCCCGGGGCCAG